GATTTCTTCAGTCGACAAATATTTGACATGTATGCTCGTTTTCAGGACTCTGAGAAAGCTATTTAAGGTGGACCCGGCGGATTACATGATGTCGATATGCGGAAATGATGCCCTCCGGGAGCTTTCATCGCCCGGAAAAAGTGGAAGCTTCTTTTACTTGACTAATGACGATAAATATATGATCAAGACCGTGAAGAAATCGGAAGTAAAAGTGAGTTCCCTTTCAGATGCCAATATATATGTTCCGCTGTAATTTCACATTTGAATGGAATGTATCAGAATCTGAATCTGAATTCATGGTCGTTAAATGTCTCGCTCGTGTTCATATTTTCTCGTTTCTTTTCTCTTGTGTTCTTGATTTTTTCATGACGAGTAATTTTACAGTTTGTATAATATAGCAGGTGCTTAAAAGAATGCTTCAGGCTTATTACAATCACGTTCGGTCGTACGAGAACACTCTGGTTACAAAGTTTTTCGGCCTTCATTGCGTGAAGATGACGGGGCCCGCGCAAAAGAAGGTACAAAACTCAAAAAAGAAAAAAAAAACGACTTAAATAATCCGAGTCGAGCCATCACAAACTTTTGCAACTACACATGATCATCATGTTGTTTGTTCGATTTGATAATGCGCAGGTTCGGTTTGTCATCATGGGAAATTTGTTCTGTACCGAGTTTGTCATTCATAGACATTTCGACTTGAAAGGTTCTTCCCACGGCCGCCTAACCGTAAAACCAGAATCAGAAATCGAGCCCACCACCACTCTCAAAGATCTCGATTTGAACTTCATTTTTCGGTTGCAAAAGTCTTGGTTCCAGGATTTCTGCAGGTGATGATTCACAAATCACAATCTCTTACGTTATACATTTACTTGCAGCTCAATTTGAAACGAACAAAAACAAACAAACAAACAAACGAAAAAAACCCATTTTTCCTTTCAATCTGCAGGCAAGTGGACCGTGACTGTGACTTTCTCGAGCAGGAACGAATTATGGATTACAGCCTTTTAGTCGGCATTCACTTCCGAGAAATATCGCCTTCGAGCGAACCACTTACTACAGAGACTAATATTTCCCAAGCCAAAACGCCTAATGGTACACGTCTATCCACGACTCTACCCTTCGAAAAAAAAAAATTAAAAAGAAAAACTTTCTTTCTAACTAATAAAATTTTTCATTAGGAAACGGGGCGAAAACAAACGAAGGAGGTGCAACGGCCGGTATTGATCTTCTCTTAGATACTAACTGGTAAAGAAACGAGCTTTTTTTTTTTTTCCACGAAAAACAGAATATCACAATATAAAAATACTCGAATACTTTTTTCGGCAGGTGGGCATCGATTAGGTTAGGTCGCAACATGCCCGCACGAGCCGAGCTAACAGCAAGAAGAAACAATGCCGAGCCCCAGCTGGTGGGGGACCCGACAGGTGTCTACTATGATGTCATCCTAGTATTCGGGATTATCGACATTTTGCAAGACTATGACATCAGCAAGAAGCTTGAGCACGCGTACAAGTCCTTCCACTATGACTCCACGTCGATATCGGCCGTGGACCCGAGGCAATACTCGAGACGCTTTCGCGATTTTATATTCAAGATTTTTACGGAGGATTCGGGATGAAGACTGCATTTTTCACACGTCCTGTTTTTTATTTTTTTAATTATTTTGTTTTAAGTTTTACTGCGTTTTTGAAGGGCCAGCATTCTGTACAGTCTTGCGGCCTAACCCAAAAATGACGATTAGCTTATCGGGCGATAGGTTACACGAGCCTGTAGAGGATGGTAGGAATAGAAGGATTAAATCGAGTCAGAGTAAGGTACATTTCTTTTTATTTTTTTATTTTTTTGTATCTCAGATACATACTGAATAAGCTTTGAATAGAATCCAAAGAAGTTCACAAAAGTTAAGTGTTCTGCAGTTTATATGTTCATCAAGTTTAGAAGCTAACATCATGTTTTTGTCACCTCTGTTCTGAATACTGCTGATTTATTACCTATTTCATATTACAGTGGTACACTTCATGTTTATGAATTTAGGTGTACAATATCAAATGAAAATGCTGTATTTAGTTGATGAAAATTAAATGAATTGCAATGTTCTAAAGCTGGAGAAATACACCCATTCTTTTCATGTAGAAGCTGAGAATTGCACATTTTGACCTTGTTTGGTGATTAATTAACGTTTTTTTGACCAAATTAGAGATTTGAGATGAATTAGAGAGGTTTGACATGTTAGAACCTCAAATTTTATTGTTGGTGACATGTCATATCACCAACTCCAACGAGCAAGTAAAAATTGATATTTCAATCTGTTATTAACTAATTGAATCAACTGAATCCAACCAGCTAGTAAAAATTGATATTTCAAAAATCTGTTATCAACTAATTGAATCAGCTATTTGCTAACTGCTAATTGAATCAGCTGAATCCAACCAACTAGTAAAAATTGATATTTCAATCTGTTATCAACTAATTGAATCAGCTATTTGCTAAGTGCTAAACAAAATTGTTTTCAGTCAGCTATTTCGTGTTTCAATTAGCTATTTCATGCTAAACAGGACCAATAATTATGTGGTATTTAATCAGCTATCAATTAACATTTCATGTTTCGTCTTCAACAAAATCATATAATATATAGATGGTCTGGATTACATCAACGTACAATAGTGTTTATTGGTAACTAGTATTCCACCTGTGCATTTGCACAAATATAAATAAATTATTGTGAGTCTGTATGCATATAATGATTAATTATTTTTCTTTCACTTTTTTGCAAACTAAATTTACAATTAAAAGAGTTGATTTTTTTTTTTTAAATTGCGTTTATCTGATTGGATGTAATGTATATTTTGGTACATCTTTTATTTGTGAATTATTTATTATTTATTTAGGAATTTCAAATATATTTTTTATTTAAAAAAAATTTAAATGTAACAACAATAATAACATCTAATCACATTATACGGTCAACACATTATATGGTCAACTGTTATTAATAAAAAATTTAAAATAATTTTTGTAATTTTGAAGTGATGAGTATTAATTATTTAATGATTAAATGAAAGATTAAATACATCAAAATGTAACGGTTTTTGGAGGGAAAATTGTTAAATTGCCACATAGGTAAAATTAAATAGGTTTTATTAAATGTTTTGAGCTAGTAATTATATATATATAGATTAATGGTAGTTAAATAACATAATAATTGGTCTTATTATAGAGTACAGATGACCTAGGTACAAAATTAATTTTATTTTGCAGAACAATTCATTAATTAATAACATTAAAAAGTTAAAAAACCAAATAAAACTCCAAAAGAAGAGAGAGCCTCAATTTGGTCAACCTTACTCCAGAGGATTTGTGGGGGTCCATAAATAAATCCAACGTGACAACTTCAACTTTTGTATACAATGATAACAATGAAAGCCTTAGGGCATGCTTGTTTACAAATTATTTCATTTTCAATCCAATTCATACTCAAAATCTAACTCAACTTTAACCCAACTCCATTATCTTTAATATTATTCATATAATTAAATAATACAAACTAATCATTCTTACACATCACATCAACTCACATAATTTTAATTATCTATCATTTCTAATCATTTCCAATCATTTATCTCTTACTTTTACATCAAATCAATTTTAATCATTTTATTTTAAATATTATTTTAATACATTCTTAAAATCCCACTAACAATTAACCATACTACATTTTTCAAAATTAACTCTAGTTAACTAAAATAACTCATTTTGAATGAAATATTTCATAAACAATCACTCCCTTATATTTCGTGCTTGCATGTCTTTTGTTAATTAAAATAAAATTAAATAAAGTTTGTGGCAATTTTTTACTCGCGTATAAATGGTCAAACGATTTATTTGCTAATTTAATTCTTCTATCCGACAACTATTTTGTTTGTTATAGGTTTCCTTTTTTAGAGTAAAAAAAATAAATCATTTTTGTTCATAAACCAAGGTTTCCATTGGATATAGAATTTTTTCATAATATTTTGCGGGCCCTAACAACGGCAGGGGAAGTTAGAAAAAAAAAAAGGACAATTTATTTTTGAAATCGTGGATGAATATAAAATAAAAAATATTATGACTAGAGTTGATACAATGCAAAATTATGTTTGATTTTACTTTTAAATTGTTCTTATTTGATTATTATAAAGAAAAAGTGAAATGAAAAGAATGATATTTTTTTTACTAGTAAAATGAACGCGCACTGTACGAGATGCATGATCAAATTCTTTCCTGTATATTTTTAGTTTCCCTTCACAATTTAAACAAAATAAATTTTGATTGACAAACAATAATGAAAAAATAAATAAAAAAAAAATAAACAAAAACTTATCCTATCACCTTTCAATATAAACTACTACTCTTTTTTTTTACCAGGAAAGATGTTTCTATTTATGTATAAGCTAAGTAAAATGGTCACACATTATTGTGTGGTTGTCAAAAATTGTTCAAGCTCCATATGAATCACATCTTTCAAAGGATGATCAGATTATGGAGGCATTTGTTGAAATGTGGAAAAGGATTATCTAGTCCAGCATGGTATGATACACTGTCACTATTATATTGATAGTCTTTCAAACCAGATCTATTTAGATTTTAGAGTAGACCTTTTTAGGGCTCATTTGTTTGCTATATGAGATAGGATATGATCCTTAGATTATTGTTCAGCCCGGTATATTGGCTGATAGAATCCCACAACTCCTTGATAACTTATCCGGGTACAATTGGGTTGATAACTTATACACCATGCCAATTTTGAACTGAAATCATTCGCGGGTATAAGTGCCCGACTTCAAGGCTCGAACGGCTTCATGACTCGAACTTTCCCCAATCCACACCAACAATACGTTTGTTTTCGTCACAGCAAACTAACGACTACACGTACTTTTCTCATTATCCATTAACTGCAGAAAAAAGAAAAGAAAAAAAAAACTACTTCACAATCAAGCTTCAACTCTTCAAGCAAGTTGAGACGCTGCATCATCTACACTATCCAAATCCAAATCCTTCGAGCACAAATTATTTTGCTCAGAAGCCGAAACCCTACTATTGTTCACCCTCCTATCCCTCAAAATGCCAGCCGATTCCTTCATTAACTCGATATACTTTTTCCTCACATTCGCCAATGGATGGGGCTCTATAGCCAATTCATCCCTATAAGCTTCCTTCAGAATAGCCGTGCAAGTTTTATTCTTCATCGACAGATAAAACACGTGAGGATGCCTCTCGAACGCCTTGTGCACCTTCTGTGGCAGACCCAAGTGTTTCCTCAGACAAAAAAGTGACTTTCTTTCTGCCGCATGCTCGACAAACAGACACAACAGCTCGTGCAGAACACCAACGACCCGTTTTTCAGACAAATCGCTGTCTGGATTCAAACACGAGAAATCCTCGTAAGGTGACACGTAAGGAAGCCGTTGAAACTCATGCAGCCAGTCTTTTATCTTGTGCTTCAGTCTCAGCCCTTTGGAGGGAAATAACGGGAACTCGATCAACTCACCTTCAGCTCCGTTGTATATTCCTCTTTTTACTGCGTTTTTTTGCATTACGGACAAAATTTTACCACTTTTTTCATTTTCTTGCTCTTTGATAACGGCTAGGCCTTTCAACCCATCCTCGATATCCACAACACGAAAGCACCCGTATTTTTCAACATAATAAAGCGGGTCCCGCCAAAATTCGGGAGGCAAGCCTAGATTCCACTGCAGCCCCTTTATTATCTTTAAAGGAAGCATCTTTTGTCGGGTCCCGCTCATCAATATCAATTTTTTCAATCTCCCTACAATATCGTCTGAAAAGTCATCGTAAACCGTTCTTTCCTCTCGATCGAGCTCGATGGCTCTTGAAGTAAGTCTAAACCACGGCATATTGTAAAGGGGGCCCGTGAACTCCTCGAAGAAAGATGGGTAGCTTCTCAAGAACCTTATGACTTTGATCTTCAAGTCAAAGTCGGTGCCATTTTTCGAGATGGATGAGATGGGAATCGAGTATTTTTCGTGCGGAGAGGAGGATGGGAAGGATATGAAGAAGTTTTTTACGGCAATTACGGGCTTCAGCTCAAGGGACTTGTGGATTGAGTCGATAGAGTCAAAGTAAGGATCTTTTTTCCATTTCATGTAGACCTGCACGTAGTTTTGAGTTTGAGTGTAAAAGTAGGGATGTGGGGCCCGGGTGAAAACCGGGTTACTTGAAGAGGAGAAGAGGAGCTTTCGGATGAGAGTTTTGGGACAAGTAATCGATTTTCGAGCCATTGGTGAGTATCGTTCGGTTTTGGTGATTCAATCCAACTGCAAATGAACATTAGAAAAGAAAATGTATTTCAGTTGTACGTTTTCACGATGAACTTTTCGGTTGGATGTTTCACTAACAAAAGAGAAGGCATCAATACACACTTTTCTGGGGGAAGAGAAACAGAGGAACCCAACGGTATTAAGCATATATATGTGGGAAAAAAAAAACGTATCTTTTAGCAGAATTAGCCTCGTATAAACTTGCAGAAAAGAGAGGAGATGTTGAGTTTTAGCAAAAGAACACAAAAGATTGTATTGGCATTTCATCGAACACCTCAAGCCCACTCTTTCGGCTGTGAAA